CAGCAAGCCAGATTTCTGTGGACTTTTCTTTGTACTTAGCACATACCATGTTCTGTAAAACATCATCTGCTACTTCTATGATTCAGCTTTAAGCAGCTCAGAATCCAGTTACTCAGCCTACACAGCCCTGAGCCATCGCCACTGCCCCTCCTCTCAGCAGCACTAAATTCCACCCAGTTAATTCACTGGTTGTTTGGCTGCTTACCACAGAGGCCTGGAGAGGTAATTTGCAGCACAAGCACAAAAGAAGTGAAGAAGGAATGATGGTGAGAATGAAAAGACAGGACAAAAATGAAAACTCAGGAGCAGTGGAGAACCACAGGAGAAACGTTTCATCTTCTATCAAGAATCTCTACTACTGGTGTTAGGAAGCAGCAATTGCAATGGAGAAAACAGATATAAGATGGCAGAATCTACACTAGCATTTTATAGTTTGGTTTGTGGAGTGCTGTGCTTTTCACAAGGTTGTTTTTTAACTCCTTCCATTGGACGAGGTGAAAATGAAAGGTCCATTCCAGCTACACCAAATTCAATCCCATCACTCCTGAAGACATAAGGGTCTTAATTGGTCCTATAGGCAAGTTTGAACCACAAGCCTGGCAAGATGCTGGACTAAACCTTGTCTAGCAGACTCCCTGATCTTCCTAAGTGCAGACACAGGTGCCTCAGCACCAACTGTTAATGCAGATAATTCACAAAGTATGTTCTGTTTGGAAGCATGAAATTCTTCTGAATCTCAAGGCATTTATTTTTAAAAATTCTACAAAATTAATGCATTTAAATAATATTCTACTCTTAAAATTGTACAGTTAACTTTCTCAAGATTCCACTCTACATTTGCTAGTGGCTTACATTAGTCACCATATGACAACCACCTCAAAAATTTTGGGTGAAGTTTCTCAAGTATGGGTGTTGAGTCAGCTTGGGAATACCTACACTGCAATGTGACTCACAGTGTAGGTACAACCTAAATCTTTTAAATAAGGTAGTTCTCAAACATTTTTAAATTAGGGACTTCAGCATCTTACGTATTATTTGTTCTCTGCTTTATTGTAGTAAAACAAACACCAAAAAAGGCAGAAGGAAGAAATTAATTGAATTGAACCTATTTCAGCTTCTGTAAAGCCTTTGACACAGTCCCCCACAACATCCTTCTCTCTAAATTGGGGAGATATGGATTTGATGGCTGGACTGTTCAGTGGATAAGGAATTGACTGGATGTCGCATCCAGAGGGTTGTGGTCAATGGCTCCATATCCAAATGGAGACCGGTGACAAGTGGGGTCCCTCAGGGGTC